CTCTTGGCCCTGTTTCTTAAGGCAGTCCCCAAAAAGACTTGAAAGTTCTTGTTAGGCCTAGTAAATACTTGAAGGAAAAATTCTAGATATGGGGCAAGGCGGCATTGGGTTAAGCTAAAAGGGGTCTCTCTCTGCTTTTTGTTTGACTTCAATTGTATTTTGGCGTATTTTGGGGTAGCTATAAATTGCAAATAATGTTATCGAATGGACAAAGTAACAAAAACAAGCCACTTCTCTTACATTTACAATAATATCAATAAGTTGCGTTTTGTGTTTCTTCGGATCTGCGCTCGAGTATGGCATAATGCTAATATTCTAATTCTAGCTTTAATAGTCTCTGAGATCGATCATACAGACGGACACATAGTTAGATAAACTTGATTCACTCGAGTCGATCATTGTTGCCGACCGAGAACATATAAAAAGGATATATGGAGTCAAATATAACTTCATGTACATAAGAAATATACCTTTGATAAGCCACTTAAAATGGATTCAACGTATATTTACTTTTAATTGCATGATATCTGTTTTATATATGTTTTAATTGCGACAGTTGGCAGTTTTTTGACAGATCGATTGGATAACTTTCTCAGTATCCGATTTAGTCAAAACATTTGAAAAGGCAGTCTGAGTCAAACATAAACGTAAATAAATATGATTCAATCAGGTAATAAACAAACATTTCGTATTTAAAGTGCTTATTATTTATAATTATATAATTCTGCAAAATGTAATTTCGCGTATTTTAAATTTTTTGGCTTGTTTTAACTCCAATTAATGCATCATTAAATGCATTCAAGTTTATTAATTAACTTGTATATAGAATTTAATGAAAACAAGATAGAATTGTTCAAACTTTTAGCATAATTTTCTGTTTTATGTGTTTCAGCAACAATTTGTTCGTTTTCGTAAAATCAATTGAAGCCATTTTCCTGTTCATTTTGTAGTCGAGTGGGAACTCGTCAGGCAGGCAGGCAGGCAAGTAGCCACAGCTGTCACGGATATGCGAGCCGTGTAGGACTTATAAACGAACAGCAATCTTCACATGAATAAATTAGTCATGGGTTCGGCTAGGGGCTTGTCAGGCATACAAATAAGTCTAATAAGTGGCCGCAAGCCCGAGACGCCAACTCTTCGGTGCGCATGCAAATCATAAAGCCCGTCCGTCGGTCGAGTGGGTGTCGGTAAAAAAAAAAAAAATAACAAAACAAAAAACGGAGCGCCAAGCAAGCCGGTGTCAAACGTCCGAGTAAAATATGAAATTAAATGTTAATGGCAGCGTATCAAATGCAAAGAAGTCAAGGCCCGGCCAAAGAACCACGACAAACAAAGCCAATGCAAATGCAATTGAGTAATTCCCGCTGCCCCTCGCTCTCCACTGTCCACTGTCGTCTGGCGCTGGTGTCAAATGGCTGCCCACAGACGTGGCTTGGACATTTCAGTGCCAGGTGCTGTGGTCTGCAGCGAGTTAACTGACCGCCGGGCCCACACTACCAGCTCACCTGCCCCCCCCCCCCTACGCCTTCTCCGGCTCTGTCTAGCTCTAATTTGAGCTTCATTGGCGGGCTTAGTCATCGTATTACTTGGCTGACTAATCATTGGAGACGGCGCGTGCTTAGAGAACGAGAGAGAGAGAGAGAGAGAGGGAGGATGGGAAAGAGAATTGGCGTTTCGAGCGGGCAGCTGGAGAAACCTCGAGTTCCTTCCTCCCCCGGATTTAACCTCACGAATTTAATGAACTTTTTACTGAGCTCCGCAACCGTTTTGACTTCTTGTTCTTGCTGTTCATTCAATTTAAAATTGGCAAAATGTTTATTTTGGTCGAGGGTCTGTTTGTGCTGTTTTGTTCAATGGAAACTTTTTAAACTTATTTTCCTTTTTATTATAGCTATGCGTAGAGTATTATGGAAGTAGACATATCCTATTTAAATATAAATATTCTTTAACAAAAAAGCATCTCTCTCTCTTTGAAGATAACCTCAGTAATTGCAGTAGATAAGTCGAATCAAAATATCATTCAGTAAAAACCGACTACATTATCATATAGCTTTGAAATAACACTCGTTAGGAAATTAAGTTTTTCTATTGGAGCCCTTCTACAAGGGTATTTCATCTTCGTCTTATGATTTTTTGTTGGTGTAAATTGGCTTTAAAGATGAAGAACACATGCGCAGCTGTGTGGAATTAATTGGGATTCGACTTGAAAGCTAGCTAAAAGTCGAACGGTCTGTAATTAAAATAACAAATCGGTTCGCCAATATTGTGGGAGAATCGAGATAGAGTGAAAAATAAAAGGTTACTGCCAGATGCTTTTGCAACAATTCTTTGAAACAAACGAACATAAACTTTTATTTGTGATAGCAACAAATCCCTTTAAATCTTACTATTTAATTCACGACAAAATATGCGAAAAATTGTAAAATTAGACAAATAAATCAAGAATTGTGTGCAAGGCATTAAAGAAGGCATTTCCGATTCCACATGGTGTATATATATTCTTGATAATTATTAACAACAAGGTGAATATAGATATGTTCGTCTATGCAAAAAAATCTGTCCTCAAGTTCCGATAGCATATAGTTGATGTAAGAGTTTTGGTAAAAACATATCTACTTATATTCACACTATCATATGATAACCTTTCGCTTTAATGTCTCTTCACGAATAGCGCATAATGCCTTAAACATTTCTAAACTAAACTAAGCAACTTCCAGGGAGGCATAAATACATGCTTACTTCGACTTGGACCAATGGAGAGCCAACTACTAGTTAACTCAGTTACTTAAACTCACTTAAGCACTTATTGAAATAGAGATCCCTAGTCGCCAGCTCAGTTCCCACTCACTGGCAATAAAATGCGGCAAATACAGAAATTTAATATCGCAACTGTCGTCGTTAAATTATGAGACATGGAAACTCTATATAAAAAGTTGAAACGCAGCGCTAATGCATTACGAATGAACTTCTGGGCAGAGAGCAAATAAAGCTAAACCAAGCCAAGCCAACGAAGCCCAGAAGGAGCAGAGCAAACTATGTGTATCATAAAATGGCATCGAGACAACAAAGGAGAAAGAAGCGACAGCTGGGCATGAGAGCGCGCCAGTTGTGGATGGAGTCAGACAGACGGAGAACAGCATTATGCGGCATCCCTCGTCTGGGCCAGATGACGCCGTGCGTCGACCGGGCAGGCAACCACCGACTGACTCCCCAAATAAGCCATCCCAGCGACCAAGGGGTGAGTGCATAGTGCAAAAAAAAACCAGCAACATTCTTGGCCAGCAAGCGAAAGTGATTGAATTCCAACAAGATTCGTGGCGCCACTCGAACTGCCGTATCTGAAACGTTCCAAAAATTTCACTGTGGAAGACTTTCTCGTGCAATTATGCAGCGCATAAACTTGGCTGATAAAGCTTTTGGAATATGCATTCAAAAGGTAAGTCTAGATAAAATGTCTAGAATAGAGTATTGAAATGGGTGAATATAAAAAAACAAATAAATGTTGAATATAATATAATGGAATATACTTATCCACTTATATCGTGAATGTGATTGAACTTTATACTTATATTTAAATATTGTCCCCCATTATTTCTGTTCGTTCTTATTCATAATCAATTTTAAGATATATCTCGAAAATTATTCATATAGACAGACCCCATTCACAAGCAGACATTTTGCCATTTTATCTTTCTCCTTGATTTCTTATTTCTTTTTGTTGACGCATCCTTAAATGTTAAACTGTCTAAAATCTAAACTTTTAAAGACTATAATTTCTAAAATTGGTTTTGCATATGTTAATTTTGTGCTTAACATTTTAGATGTTTTCATTTAAGATAGGAACTGGTCTGAAATATATGGGCAATCTTTAGCTTAAGGATTGGGCATTTTGCAATTCGGTGCAAGCGACGCCCCCAGCTTTCCTCTAGCTATTCGGCCACAGAGCGGCCGCCGTGTTGTGGCAGCACTGGAGACACTTTATTTACAATTCATTTCCTGTAATTTTCCGCTTGACATTTGCCGCAGTTTACACTGCCAGGTGCCCAGAAATCGGGGCTAGTATGGTCTGCTAGACAGGTCTGCCGCCCACACAAGCTATGCCCCCCGCATCGATTCGTCGACAAATCCATGGAGTGTTCAGGGCCCCCGTATCATCGTCCTGGTCTGGGCTGTCGTGCGGCCATCATGTGTCCCGGTGGTTGTCGAAATGAATTGCCTGCCGCATATCGAAGTTGCCAAAAGTTCCGTTTTGCGCAGGAAACCAATCTAGGTGGGGCGTGGACTCGGAATGGGCCGGCAATGCAGCAGAATTTATGAGGAAAGGTTGTCGAAGGAGAGCTTCAAATTCATGGCAAGCGATGCCTGCACCAAAGTTTTGTTTTATTGAAAAAGGGCTAAAAATAATAATTCTTGGAAAAGAACGACCCGAGCTAGTGGGAAACTGGCTAAAAATGCGACATAATTGACAGCCCAAGGAAAGAAAATTAAAATTATTTGGCACTGGGGCCCCAATAAATTAGACGCAGTTAACGCCATGTGCAGTTGGACAATAATAAAAGTTAGCACAGTTTTCATAATGAAATCGGAAACCGGTTATTGCAACAACAATAAAAGCTCTGCCTTAGCCGTTGCTGTTGTTGTTGTTGCTGTGTGACGGCAGCAGCAGCTGAGATTTTGCAGCTGCCCGTGGAGCAAACAGCAGGTGAATCAGTTGGACGAAGAGAAGAGAGAAAACAACAGTAACAACAATGCAAGGCATCGGCCAAGTTTAAAGACAAAAGCAACCAAAACACACACACACACACACACACACACACACACGCACGCACACACGCGCTGCAGACGACGCAAAGTGGAGCAAGACACAAAACAAAACACGACAAAAACAAAGGGCAATAGTTGAGGGCCAAGCGAGAGCGACTAAAAATCAATAGAAATAGGAAGCGCACGCACAAAGGACAACATTACAAAAGCAACAGCATAAAAATGAATATACTTACAATAATCGTTGTAATTGGTTGCTGCTGCTGCTGTTCTTATCGTGCGCAGCGTTGAATGTTTTTACATACAGTTGGCGCCACACACACAATCGGTTGAAGGAAGGGGGTGTTGGTGGTGTGTATGAATATTCAACAAACAGAAACAGAGGGAGGCCTATTTGGTATATCGCTGTGTCTTCGAGTAAATTGCACAATTGGAATTTGGATCTGCCACACGTATATTATTTACGTTGATTGCCGGTCTGTTTATTCAAATGTCAATTAACACTAACGCTTTTAATAAATTTATGACAACGCACGGCATACATCCCCCCACGTTAAGCTCTGAAATGTAACTGCAATCTTTGTCAAGACCGATTACTGTAGTCGACAATTGAATGGCTGCCAACTTAATTTTTATAAATATGTGTGCATACACTGGTCGACTGCTTGACGTTCTGTCAGGTCTGCACATATCGATACGGGAATTTTTTTTAATTTAACTTTAAATCTAATGTGAAGGGGCACATGCATCTATACTTCTTAATTTGAGCATATATTTTGTCACATTTGTTAGGGCTATCTTTTTTGTACTATCGATAAGTGTGCAAGCGACTTATGTGTTTCGACAATGTGACCATAAACATGGCCATATCTATCGATAGACAACCGATAGTTCCTCTGTCTTCTTTAGCATTTCGCGGCGCTAGCTCGTATATTTTTTGCAAATAAACGTAATTAAACAGCTACAAAGTGTGCATACCTTACATATTATCAAAATAACGACACTCAACACACAGGTAAGTGTCAGTAAATGCTAAAATACCTATGCAGACGCTTGAAATAAAAACTCACGGATTCACGCATACAGTTACATTCGGCCATGCGAATTTGCGAATCTCGTGTAAAAAACGCCATTAATTGTCACCATACCATTTACACTCCGAACATGCGAATGGCTTAGTAGTTCTTGTGTTAAATAAATGCCCGTTAGCGTTACCGGTGTGTGTCTTTTTGCGCGGTTGCAGTGGCTGGCAGCGAATGGCGGGCTCACACACATACGCACAGGCGCATTGCGACGCGCGCACAAAAACACACAGACACGCACGCACTCACACAGGTGAATGAACTTTTTTGCGTTGTTTTGTAATCTCGATCTTTTTTGCCGAACACACACATACCTATACAAATGTATGTACACCATTCCAAATGCATGTACGTACATGCATACATATTAAATTGTTTACAGTGCGTGTTAATTAAACAACTGCAACCATTTTGTTTTTGGGCTCATTGCACTCCACTCCTCTGGCCCAGAACCAATGAAGATCCTCGCGCAGCTGCAATTCGCACTTTTATTGATCTTAACGTTCTCCTTGGCGAAATTGTCGCACATGTTTTCTTCAATGTTTTTTGCGAGTTCATTTGCATATTTGTTTAATTTGTTTTCACAGCAGCAGCAGCAGCAGCAGCCCAGTGTTAATGAACCTGCATTCCCGTTTTCCCTGATATTTTAACAAATTAATAATTTTTTTTTTGTCCAATTCGACAGATGTGTCGCTGTGTAAATGGTTATTAATAGATCGATCGCCCACGCGTTCAATTTTCAAAAGAAACTGCAGTTTGTTTTTGTATTTAAATAATTTTAATTTTAAATAATATAATTTGGTAAGTTTTATTTTATTTTTTTTTTTGTTAAGGCAAAGCGTTTGCATAAAAATACACTTGTTGGTTTTATAAGAACATATTTCAGTGGATGCTCTTAATACACAAATACAATAAGTTTAGTAAACCATAGCTTATAGCACTCTATGAATAGTTTTGATAGTTGTATTGGTTTAACCTATTCTTTTTTGTAAGCAACAGTACTACATTATTTTTCGGCCCATTAACTTTTGATAAGCTATGCAAGCGATATTGATACTAGATAAGAGCTTCGAAGCAAAAGCCGTGTTTGGGTATTTGTAAATAAATTCCGAACATTTTCAATTCTATATAACAAATGTTTTTATGGCCTGTATAATATGCGGTGTGTAGAGTTCTTTCGTGTAATAGTTGCTCAGTATTTAAATATAATGTATACAAAAATTGCATAGATACAGAGACAGCGAGAGATAGTGAGAATATCGTAAATTTGATTTACAATAAGTATAAGATATAGTTTTATAAGTATAAGTATATGTATAAGTATACGGTATAATATAAGAACAAGGCAATTGATTCTGTATGCGGTTTCATATATTTGGTACATTTTCCAACACTGATAACTGAGTAGAGTGCGCGCATTTAAATTAATCGAAATCAACCGTTTAATATGCAGTGCGGAATTTCAAGAGAGACAGATCAGGGATTAGTTTTGTAGTGGGAGAGTTGGAGATTCAAAGTATGTATTTGCCTTTGCCCCGATGCTCCGCTTGCCGCGTCGACGATGTGGCGCCCGCCAGCAGGAAACTGGCGCTGGTGCCGCTGCTGTTACTGTTGGTGCTGCCGTAGCTGCCATAGTAGCTATCATAGCTGCCATAGCCGCTGAGCGGCAGGGCGTTTAGCTAAATCATGAGCGCCGAGAAGGGGTTATACCGCATGATCTTTGACAGCAGAATCCATAGCACCGACGTAATGGCGCAGAGCACAACGCCGCCCCAGCCCAGGTCCAGACTCCACGAAGTTAGGAATACACGTGCGCCCAGCAACGGTTTGGCCATAATAGCGACTCCGCCCGGTCGTGCCACAATACCATCGACGGTGCCATCGTAGTCGCTGTCCAACATCGGGCGTCCCTGCTGTCGCTTAAAGTGTATTATCATCAGCGTGAACAGGGCAAACAGAGCTGTAAGCGAAGAACAGAGAACATTAAGTTGGGATCAATTTATTTGATTGCGGGTTGGGCTTTCCCGGTTGCTTACCCGCCAGCAGATACATGACGCCCGTAATAAGGATGGCACTTATTTGGCGCTGGCAGACGCCGAAGGCGCCCACCAAAGCGGCGCTGCCCAGAATGATGAGGCAGACAAGTGAGCAGGATATGGACAGGTTTTGCATTCCTGTTCGATCAAAATCAAATGTTTCATTTTTCAATATAAAGTGTAAACACAATATCCACTTGGGGGCATTATTTACAAAGATTAAGGAAACATAAATAATGGAATGTCATGCTGAGCAGAAGCCAATAGCTGCTGTTGTGGATAAAAGCTCGAGGTTATTCACAGAGATGTGTAGATGGTGGTAGATGTTGTGGTTGGAAGCATGTTCCCTGAAGTATATGTTTCAAGAAGAACTTGGGGATATTATACTTAAAGGCTTATTTCATGAAATATGTATCACATATAAGAAGGCATCTCCGACCCTAGAAGGTATATTTACATATTCCTGATCTATATCGACAATCGAGTACCAGGTAGTACATACGTAGGAAACTTCTGGATTGGACCGCTTTTGGTCGAAATTTGGGTTTTTTTTTTTGAATATTTTGTTAGTATCGATTTCCCAGCACAACTTTATTCATTTTCCTGAACTGCTTACATATGAGTATAATATTTTATTAACATCCGACTTTGTTTTTTAAAAAAAAACTTAAATAAACTTGGCATCTACCAGTTCTGCCACACTTACACATAAGAGATTGTAGGAAATAGGATAAACGAATAATTTTTTCAAAATATCCTGTTTTTTTCGCGAACTTCAAATTCTGACAAACCGTGACCCGTATCATTTCCTAGACTAATTTCATGATTATATAGACAAATTTAATTCGATATCGCTACGTTTTCGGTATTATATATTGGATTTGAAAGCTTTAGCTTTAGAGCTTATGTAGTGCAGTGCTTATGTAGTATTCGAACAATTTATAAATCGGGCTGGCCCAATTAAAGAGGCACGCCTCCGAAGGTCTGCATATGATTCGGCGTTACTCTAGTGAGCATAAAGCCAAGTGATATCTGATGAATTTCATTCAATGTTCCCGTTGTTTTGTATTTAGTCTAAATATTTTTTCCTCCGTATCGATGTTCATTTTTTTTTAACGATGCTCATGGGCTTTTAAAACCTAAACCCATCTATGCGCGTTCTATTTTAACTGTCGCATAATACCCACAATCATGGCACTAGTGAAACCAATTACCCAATGCAATGCACAGACTGTGCCAATTAAAATCCTAACGCGCTGGGGGGCCAAACAAACTCGCCTAAAAACCAAAGTGGCAATTGCGATTTACAGAGCTTCGCGGTTCACGGGGGGGGGGGGGGGGGCGAGCAGCCACAAGCTAAACCACATGATGACCTATTTTTTTGTTTTATATGTTTTTTTTTTGGTTTTCTGCTGTCCGCTCGCTCGAACGAAGGACGCCTGACATCGAGCTGGGAAGGGGCACACGTGTGTGCTTCAATATCGACTGTGGCGCTTAACTTAGTTACTAACTGCTGGTAATTACTGTATGCATGTATTTGGTGTCATTGTCTGAAAGGTTACAAAGGTTTCACGGACGCTTTTTGTGTTGCACTTTTGGATGCTTTCCAATACCCTCTACCCATTGCATGTGGGCTTCAAAAGGGGCTTATGATTTTGTGCGCATGTATATAACAAGCAGAGAAATACAACGAAATGCTCGAATTTTGGAATGTAGGTCTTTCTATTGCCTGCGTAGATCTAGTTTTGTTCAAATGATGCTCATGTCTTTTCTCAGAATTAATAAATTATCGATGTCCAATTAGGAATGTTTTCAGAAAGACCACGAAATTAAAGAATATATGTATTACGGCAGCTTGTTGCTGGTTAAACGGGTGTCTCCCAGTCGAGCACACCCGACCAAAGCACTTTTCGTTTTTTTCCTGTATGTACTCAAAGGATTTGTGCCAGATTCGGAATCTTTCCATTGGGGATTTGCGTTAATGACTTGTGAAATGTGCGGGCAGCGCGAGAGCAGGCGAACTTTTAAGCCACTATGGATGAGGTGAATCAGTGAGCCAGATAAATGAATATGTGGTATATGCTGTGAAAGTTGTGTCTGGGCGGGCAGTAAGCTGAGTGCGTTACGAATGCGAGAAATACGAATAAAGTGTATTATTTATTTGCGTTCTCGCCGGTCTCTCTACATACATCGAAGGTGACGTCTAGGGCACAATCTCTACATACGCTGTTAGGTTGTGTTGGGAGCCGGGAATTTATGGGTGGAATCAAAAGATTAAGCGCAAATCTATTATGTGTTAAGCTAATTAAACTTAATGGAGGTATTCAAAAGTTTAAATAAATTTTTAAAAAATTATAAATGTAAAATACTCATTATTTACATCTAGATACTACTATAATCAAAAATAGTGCTCTAGACGGCAGTGTCCGACTAGGAAATATCCTGCATCTGGATTCCTGTATAGATACAAAAACTCGGGCTCCCTTAGCTCCACTCTCTGGCAAATGCAGCCTTGATTAACTACGGTGAATATTGTCCGATCAGGTATAAAATATAGCATAGAAAACTGAGGATGTGCTTAAGCTAAAGGTTTAATCAGATAAGTATAGTTGAGCTTTCTTAGATTCTGGACAGACATACAGTTGGAAATGGCAACCCAATCTCAAATACGTTCGAAAGCGTCTGAAGATGAGCGACAAGCGAATCGATGCAGAATGCACCTAGTGCATGAACACCAAGTAAAACGACAACGAGAACTACATAAGAAAATAAAGAGCCCACGAGGTTTTTAAATTTAGGGGCGAAAGTCATTGACAACACAGACATTACGCTCTTCGGTTTTTAGAAAGGGAATTGAATCTACCCATTTGCTGGCAAGCGTCCAAAACTGCAACAGCTGCTTCCAAAGTCATTCACAACAAACATTCGCTGATAAACATAAAGATATACATAAAACGATAGTAGGGAATTTCTTATTCAGCGTTTAATTAGTTTGCTGATTGTGCCGGTAACAAATAGGACCGTTGTACGTGTTGGAACCGTTCGATGTGAAGAACCTAGTTAAGTTTTAAGTGGACATGACCATTTTTGATGTGGGAATCGTTTAAATAGAAGTATGTTGTCAAAAGGTTCTGGTTTGCCATCTGTCCACCTGCATTCGCAATGTTATTAATTTATTCCCAGCAAGGTCAAATAAATGTTTACTAACATATATATATATATATATATACAAATTAAACATTTTCCATCTTTGCAGTTTACTTCGCAAGGAACTCCGAAATGTCCGCCGAAGCTGAAGCAATTGTCACAACGGCTGCTGCCGATGCAGCGCCAGAGAAGGCAGCCATCGAGCCCGTTGCTGCGGACACCACGCCCGACAAGGTGCCTTCAGATGTAGCTATCAACCCGGAGCAAGTGCGTGCCGAGAAAATACTTAAGGGCAAGGAGCTGTTTAGTCAGGGATCACGCAACTTTCTAGTAAAGAGCTATGACGAGGCGGCCGATGAGCTGAGTCAGGTGTGCCAGCTATACGAGGAGGTGTATGGCGAACTGGCCGATGAACTGGGACAGCCACTGTTGCTGTGAGTAGCTTGAAGATTCAGGGCTGTGACCGAAATAACTTGATATTTGATTTGCTTTGCAGCTACGCCAAATCGTTGATTGCGATGGCGCTAGATGAGAACAAAGTGATCGATGTGCCCGACGAGGCAGCCGATGACGATGAAGAGGATGTGGACGAGGATGACGCTGAAGAGGGCGAGAGCGAAGCGAATGGAGATAAGCCAGTTGTGCCCAAAGCAAACGGAGCCACAAATGGTAAAAAGCTGGAAAGCATTAAAGAAGGTGATGCCGACGAGGCCGATTCCACGGGCGATGCAGGTCAGTCTAAGCCAGAAGAGCCAGCCGGTAGTTCCAAGCCACCCACGGGAGTGGATGAAGTGAGCAGCAGCAATGGAAACGCTGCCGCTTCGAACAACGAGGATGAACGTCCCAGCACTTCAAATGGCGAGGTGACTGCCAGCACCAGCAACGGTGCACCAGCGGCAATGGATGTGGACCAGGCCGAGGAAGACAACGAAGAGGGCGAAGGTGTTAGCGGCAGTCTTCAATTGGCCTGGGAGATACTCGAGGCGGCGGCCAAGATTTTTTCGCGCCAAGGTCTCAGCGGCTTGCCTTACCTGGCTGATGTGCAAACGGAACTGGCCAACATTGAATTCGAGAATGGTATTCTGGATGCAGCACGCGAGGATTACGGTAACAGATCAAAGCAATTTTAAATTGGCAGTCCACTTAATATTTAATTACTTGCAGAGAGAGCTTTGAAGATACATGCGGAGCTGCCCAATAAGAATCGTCGTGCGCTGGCCGAGCTGCACTACAAGATCGGGCTTACTTATCTGATGCAGCAGCTTAACAAGGAGGGCGCCGCAGCTTTGCGCAACTCTAGCGTGCTTATTGAAGAAGAAATTTCCGAGATCAAGAGCAAGGAGAACCCAACCGAACGTGAGAAGAACAACATGCTGGACTTGGAGGAGACCAGACAGGAGATTCTGGTCAAGATTCAAGAGATCGAAGAAACACAGGCACAGGTAACTGCCAAAGGAACATGAATTGAAATGATGATTATGCTAATGCTAATCCAATAATTGCAGACAATAGCAGAGGTGCGCGCTGCTTTGGACAGCTACATCAAGCCTATGAGCAGCAGCAACAACAACGGTGGGGATGCAGCTGCCTCCTCATCGACAGCCCGTGCTGGTGACGCTGTCGCTACCAATGGAGCTGCGTCCAGCTCTTCATCGACCACAGCGTCTGCTGCCTCCTCGTCGGCCATCAGCAGCAGTTCGAACAAACCCACAGATATCACGCATCTGATCAAACGTAAGAAGCCCGAAGAGCCCAGCTCGGAGGCCGAAGCTGTATGTTCGCCTGCCAAGCGTGCTGCTGTTTAGAAGTCGCTCGAAGACTGCACATTCCAGTTAAATACACACAAACACACACTCACACACGCACACCAACAACACCAGCAACACCAATACATCAGCTACTTAAAACTCACACAAACATACGTATACACATGCTTATCCTATCCCAATCTTCCTATTTAAGATTATGCTATTTGTTTTTGCTGTTTACTACAATCATTTTCACTATAAGTCTGTAAAATTACAATCACAACTAGTGCTAAGTGCTTACATAAAATAATGTTTTTATACTATTTAAAAGAGAAAACGGTATCGAGAGCAAAACGAATGAATCAATAATAATAAAAGCAAAATTGCCTCAAAACGAAAATTGTTAATAAAAATGTGTCCACACTCAAGATCTGGATTATGGATTTGGTTCGGGCAGGATTGCGCCCATAATACGTACTCAGATGCGGCTGCAGTGTGATGACCTGTGACTCACTGTGCTGCCAATCGTTGCGCTGCTCCTCGCCGCGCGCGTTCTCCATGGACCCGGCCAAGTAGTTGACACACGGCGGTGCGCCGCGTGGAAACTTTGGATTGCGCCGCAACTCCTGCAGCTGTGGAATGGGCAGATCGATGCACAGCGTCCAGATGCCACCGTGCATTGGCACCAGAAAAACGGAATCGCGTCGAAAACGATGATCAGCTTTTAAGTGAAAAGTATAAAATGATATCAATGTAAATATTTGGAATGTCTTAAATTATAATTAATTAACAGCTTTAAATCCTTTCAGGGGGAATTCTAATTTGTACAGTGAAACGTTCTTACACATTTAATTTGATGATTTTTTTTTTGTTATACACTTTATTTAAATGATACAGGACTTAGAATGGAATGCAAGGAAAAAGCACGGGCCACTTAAGTTTCTATCCCAATAAAAGTCCAGTGAAAAGATCGTTAGATAAGTTGAGAGCTTACCTCTTTTATCTGGCTTAAGCATAGCCACCTGGTCATCCAGAAGCCATTCCAGATGCAGGCCCGATCGATTCGAGTAACGATCCAGACTGTTGCGATCCCATGTCACGTGCTCCCAGTGATCAGTCATTATGGCGGCACACAACATGGCCGTGGCGCTGGTGGTCATTAGCAGCGTGACGAAGAGAAACAGGACGGGCGGCGGGCCCATGCAGCAGCTGGAGCAGCAGGCGCTGCCACCAGTTCCACTGCCCATGCCCATGCCGTCCATTTGTGAGCTGAGCGATGTGGATGTCTCCAATGCAACGGCGCCGGCGCTGCCGCTACCCCTGCGCTGTATAACTTTGGCGCAGCTGTTTTGCCTGAGCAGGATGCTGTTGCTCCGTCTTAGACTCTCGACGGCGGCAGCTGCTGCTGCTGTGGTTGCTGCGTTGCTGGCACCGTCAAACTGCAAGGAGCCGCCCACCACGGACGAGGGATGCTCATAAATGCTGTTGCGCCGACTGGGCGCAAAATAGTAACATGTGGTTTGTCTGGGCGTGACCTCCGCTAGCTCTGGTCCGCCCGGTAGCTCCTCATTGCTGCTGGAGTAAACAATCGATTGCTTGAACTGATTGGAATAACAGTTCTGCTTGAACGGCTGCGTTGACGGCTGTGCCGGTGGCTGCTGCACGTAGAGCGCCTCGTAGTCACAATGATGGGGATTGCGATAGATGACTGGCCAGGAGCGCGTGGTCTTCGAGTTGTGGCTATACCTATTGGTCGTAGGGTTCTGTGCTCCAGCCGTAATTGTGGCAGCGGCGCAGCGCTCCTCCACCAGCGGTGTCAGCTCGTTGGGCGGCTCAATGTCGCCCAAAGACTGTTGCTGCAGCTGCTGCTGCTGTTGTTCCTGATCCTGTTCCTGCAGCAGCTGGCGCTGCTGCTCCTGCTCCTCTAGCTGCGTGGTTGTCGCCAGCTGACGCTGCAGCACATTCTTGTTGGCGCCGCTGCCACTGGCCGACCAAGTGACTGGCTCCGTTGACAGCAAACTGAAGTCCTCCTCCTCGACCAGAGTGGCGCCGCCCGCGGCCAAGCCTAAGCCTGGCGAGAAAATGCTGTTAGACGTTGGCTGTGACCGGCTGCGCAGCAGCGTTATGTGTTTGTTCGGTGCTTCATGTTGTTCTTGTTGCAGTTGCTGCTGCTGCTGCTGCTGCTGGCTGACACTGGTGGGCGATGTGATGCTCACTTCTGGCACACAGCGAGCGGTCACCTTGTAGCGACTGCCGCTGCCAACGCTGACGCCGACACCGACGGCAGCGCCGGAGCCGGCGCCCTTGGCCCGCACCAGTCATAAATCAGAGCTGTCGCGTTTCTTGATCTTGTTCAAGCTCATGTTGTTCGTGGTGGTTGGGGCTGTGGCTGTGCCTTTTGGTGGTTGTGGCTTTTGGTGGTTGCTTGCTTGCTTGCGATGTTCTGATGAATGCTATTGAAGGTGTTGCTGTTGCTGTTGTTGTTGTTGTCTGTTGTCTGTTGTTAGTTGTTGTTGCGTTTACTAAATTGTGTGCGGCGCCTAAAAGTCTACTATGCAAAATGTAACTTTGCTTGTGCCACAAAAGAAAACTACGAGCGGCTTTTGTTCTTGTTGTTGTAGTTAGTTTTTTTTTGTTTTTGTTTGTTTTTTAAGTTATTGTTGCTTTTGTTAAACGCTAGTATATGTACCAATTTACAGTTATGTTTTTGATTTTTTCAATTTGATTTTGTTTATGTTATTTTGTTATAAGTATTTGTATTTGTTTTCTGATGATTTCTCGTTTTACTACGTTTTGCAAATTGCTTGTCTTAGCTTGAAGCTATAAAAAAAAGAAAAGAAGTAGAGAAAACAAATGTACAACATGAGTTTTGAGAGAGTTGAGAGCATCGAAAATTGAGTCTAATACAAATATATATATAGATCAGATAGAGATATTTTAAGGTGGTTGCTAATATCAAAGCGCCTAAAATGCGTGCGAGTGAGATTGCGCTAATGAACATGCCACATGCAACATTGACTACATATATATATTATGATGTACATATTGACGATTAAAATTCAAATTATATTATAATTACATATTAGACGAGCCTTAATTTCTATCAAATCTTATTAGATTCCATAAGAATGGAATAAGAAGTTCTTATTTCTAATAGTTTGAAGAATGGACATAGGGAAGTCGTAGAAACCTGCTGCAGTCTGTCACATACATAAGAATCAAACCATTTTTACCTATTTTACCAAATTTGAAGTCTTATGAGGTATACCCCATTATTAACCTTAATTGCAAAAACCTAAGCTTACACTTTAATATTTGTTAAATTCTCGCATGCGTATGCCCTACAGATTTAATAAACATTCACCAAAAATATTTAAGAATCAATTCAGGTAAATGGATGAAACATAGTGAAGAGCAAACACATATTCAATTTTCCCAAAAGTTCTTGTTTACCAGCTTAAAAGCAACTCAACGTAATTTATTATGGAATCACAAGTGATTCATAAATCCCAACGTGCTGACATCAAAAATGCTATTTTATTACGTGCAAATTGCATTATCTTTTGGTTTCCTGAAGTGTTTCTACGCGAAGTGTAATAAGAAACTTAATTGCATTTGCAATTCCAAGCACAATGACCCGTAACTAATTCAATTTGATGATGCCAAAAACTTTATTCGTGAAACTCGCGTAATTCAGAATTTCAATTATGTGCTCGGGCCCCATCAGACCTGATCCACCATCTGTGCCGAATCCGGGGAACGTGTGTGTGTGTCTGCTGCATTTTGCATGTGAGCCGCACAACCTCAACGCTATGCGGACATCCGGACTGCCTATGAGTTGGCCTTCCTTCCACCGCGGCCGCAAAACCCGGTTGCAATTTAAATTTTGCCCAGATAAATGGATCGGGCTATATATATATATATTCGCTGGCTACTTAGCCACGTACGTTGATGGAACAGGTGTAGCAGCATGTGTTGAGCCCCAACCATCTATCATAGTCATATGTGCTATCCGGAAGGCCTTTGGCATTCCTGCCCTTGTATGTTGGTCAACAAAAGGAATTGCAAGTGCGAGCGGAATGCCGCATATGTGGTTCGCTTTGCGTTTTTCGTTTAATGTAATAAATGTATTTGCGGCAGCCTTGGTATAACCAAATAGTTCTCGGTTTAATATATTTATTATTTGTATTATAAATGTATTTGCGCTTAAAGCTTTTTCAACTTTAATATTCTACAGGGTACAGATGGGCGCGGTTCCGGATAAATACGGTCGAGTAAAAAGAAATTATAACTTTATCGATTCTTTTCTTGATTAAGGATTTTGGAAATCTCTCTGAATCGGCTTTTATTGCATAACATTTTTTTTGGCACAATATCTATTTCAAGTCTCTTAATCTTTTTTGAATAGTTATCGTCTGAATAACTTATAGCATTGCTTTTGCGGAAGCTTACTTCAGGGACCGTGCTCTTTTAAGAGTTAAATACATCTAAGTCTAGGTTTTTGTATAGCATAATCATTTTGGATCTGCAGCAAGCATCTGTGCGTCTGTGGATTTGTGTTAATGTTAAGACTCACACCTTAAAAATAGGTCCTGTTTGGGGCACTCTAGTTCTTGGCCCAAGATTCATAGATTGTATGAATAACACGGCTGCATTTTTCTTTATGATTTGTTTACAAGAAGTTGGATACGTGGTGGGGTCAATGCAAATGTGGCATCTACCACTGCAGTGCCAGTTATCAAAGGTGTTGCACTGAGGCATTGAGGCATTTAGTGGCAAAGGCTGCAGAGTCCTTCATTTACTTAAGTTGGCTTGACATTTATGACACGGTTACCTGTGGCGGCAGCATCTTAAAAAGTTGCATTTAACATCTACGTGGCGGTTAAATCGCTGCTCACAGGTGGTCAGCAAGGTATCTCTCGGTAATTAACCAGCAAAGTGTCTTAATTTCAACTTTTACGTTGGCAAGTCAAAGACGGCGGCTGGCACCTTGATGGAACCTTAAAAGTAACAACTTTTGGTGTATTAAGAGAAACAAGCGGGCGTAATTGTTAATTAAAAATTAATTGTTACTTATGCTAAATAAGTGTGTAACAGGCAGAAGGTAGCATACTACGATCTAAAAAGGCTGTACAAAATGTTGAACAGGACGACGAACTAGGACGTATGTGTGAAGAAGTCGATCTAGAAATTTACTACTACTAGAAGGCAAAAAAGTTATTCAGGATTGCAGTTTTCAGAAGAAAGAAAAAATCTGCTCCAGTATATGTAGATACGAGTATTGATTGGTTAGGGTATCACTAAGTC